TCTATTCTATTCTATTCTATTCTATTCTATTCTATTCTATTCTATTCCATTCCATTCCATTCCATTCCATTCTATTCTTTTAATGACAGCTTCATACAGTTACAGTTCACAGTTGCAACAATGGCAAAAAAGTAACTCTGCAACCAATCCTCACATTTATGACCTTCACATTTCTGTGAAGCAAAGGAAAATTGAGCAAAGTCACAGTTTCATTTAGTGTCCAATTGGCTTAGCGATCAAGTTGCAAGTCCCATTTGTGGAACAAGGACCATCTGTATTCACATTGTATGTTGAGCCAAACTAACCAACCACATTTTAGTCTAGGATCCTGGGCAATCCTGTACAATAATGCAATTAATTGTAAACTGGACTAATTGTACCTGCAAATACAATATGATGGAGAGAGGAACCTAGTTTGAATTGTATGGCAGAATGCTCTGTATGTATGTTTTGATTAACTAAAAATTCATAATGAATATTAATACAAATTCTCAAATCAGGATTGCACACAAAACTGCTTTTGGATCTATTTTATTTGTTTTTTTAGAATTGACAGAAAAAAGGATAAGACAGAAAGGAAGATTCTGGATAGTCAAGAAAGAGCTTTCTGGGATGTTCATAGGCCGGTGGTAAGATTCACAGACTTGTTATTCTTTTATAATAAGCTAATTATAAAATATCTGGAGGCACAATGGTGATGTGTCTATATTTTGGGCAATCTTTTCAATCTAATGGCCACGCAATAGATGTAAGTCAGAATTAGCTGGGAATTCCTCTTCGGCACAATCTAGAAAGCCTCTAATTCAGGGGTCCTTGATTCCTAGGCCATGGTGCACTACCAGGCCACGGCTTGTTTGAAACCAGGCCACAGGAGAGATGGGCAAGCACACATGCACTAGAAGCTCCATTCACATGAGCGGAGGTGCTTGTGCTAGCATATGAAGCTCCCCTTTTGCAAGTGGAAGGCGCTTGCAAGTACAAGCAGAGCTTTGTGCGCAAGCCCAAAGCCCCCCCTCTGCTCAAGCGCCCTCTGCATGAATGAGGGGAGTTTCATGCATGAACGCAAGCACTTGCCGCTGATCAGAGTGTAGCTTCATGCACAAGCACAAGCCCCCTCTGCTCATGTGCAAAGCTCCATTTGTGCGAGCAGAGGGTGTGTACGCCCACCGCTTACACAAATGGAGCGCTGTGTATATGTGTGCACCTGTCACTCATGTGTTCCCTCCCCCCATGCCGGGCTGCCAAGCTGGAAAGTTTGGGGACCACTGGATTATATCACATTCTACGGAATACATCTGAGCTAATCCATGTTTACCTGCTTTGTTGTTTAGCAACCGTTCTCAGTTATGACGGTGCTGGAAAAGCAACTTTACAACCAACCTTCACATTAGTGTAACTTTGCAGGTCTGTGAGGCAAAGGAAAGATGAAGTAAGATAATAAGTACATTCATGGTTTCACTTAGCAACTGTGTCACTTAATGATTGAGTTGTTGATCCCAATTGTGGTTGGCAAATGAGGACTATCTGTATCAGTTAACTGAATAAGTGCTCTACAATCATTTAGGTAAAGAAGTAGAGGATGTCATATTTGAAAGTGATGACAGTATATAGGCATTGATTTATGAAAAGCACAGATACCAAGCAAATTACACATCACCATCAATTGATCAAAGTAATGAATTCCCTGTACATTATTAGCCCTTGATGTTACTGTAACAGTGTGACTGTAGTTGTTCTCTAAACATGGGAAAATCTAAATGAGTTTATTATCTTCATGTAAGTTCATCAGCATGATATAGATTTCAAAGCTTCCTTTAGAAAAAGGGAGGAATATTTCATAGTAAAGCGTATGACTTTTGCGAGTGTTATGAAGATTGCAATTTGATCTTGCTTTATGTATGAAGCGAGAAGAATGCTGTATTGCAAAGCAAACGGTTTCATGTAAGATTGCCAATTGCCAGAGCCTTCTATGCAGTTCATCACATTGATTTGATATATTCTTTAATATTGCTGCATTCCATCCTTTGATGGGTACTTTGCAATATACTTTTAAAACTAGATTGTAAAAGGAAAGAACACCTAATTTTGATAAAAGGCCAAATCTCAATATATATTCAGTACTTGCTATAAATGTTGGATTTGGCTTAAAATAGCACTTCCAGGATGAGAAAACAAATGTGGACATTATACAAAGGCCTTTGAGATGCTGGAAGATAGACAAATTAAAGATATTTGATGAGGAATATCCTTAATAATTAAGTATATACTTCCACTATTGATTCTATGTACATAGCGTTTGACTATCTTGTCCTTTGTTATCGGTGTTTATCCAGATTATGCAGTTTGATTGCAATAAAGACATAATTCAATAACATGTGAACTGAAACTGAAACTGTTCGTTACCATCAAATTGAGGAATGCTGTGCAAGTTGAAAAGAAGTCTTGTTTATTCTCAAGGAATCAATTATTTTTCGTCCATGTTTTCATCACAGAAATTATAGAGACTATGAGTGAATATCTGTTATTTCCTGAACTATGACTTATGTAAACTACCATATTTCAACTGCCCAATTCTGGACGATCTTTATATGATAGCAAAAAAGACTAGAAGTTATCTGAATTTTGCAAACTAGCTAAGCCCTAGTTTGTTCAGAAAGCAAATAATAAATGATGAAGGCTTAGTACAGTATATGAACCTAGCTATTATATAAAAGTGGAGTTCAAACAAGTACTTGATCTCCAAAAATCGAGTGGAGAAGTCAAATGATTATGATGGAATTTTAGCAAAGTGCACCCAATGACAATATATGCCCTGCAAATAGAAAATAGATAAACCCACTCTTCCATTGAACTGAGCCTCACTGAAAGCTAATTTGTACTGAATTAGCCTGCTGTGATTTCTAAATGAACTTCCAAATGTTAGATTAAAAATGCAATTCTAATTGCACCATAAGTCAGAGTTTGAAATCATTGGTCTGTAGAAAATGAACATTAAACAAAATTAATATTTTTGAATATGGGTTTTTTCTTAGCCGGGCTGTGTGAATACAACAGAGATGGACATCAGAAAGTGTCGGCGAATGAAGAATCCACAGAGAGTTAAAAAGGCAAGCTTCTTCTTCTCTACTCCAAAGAACCTGTAAAATGTGCTAGATGAGATTTTTATGGATACATTTAGTGCTGATCTATATTAAGACACTGACCTCAGCCTAAGTAAAAAAATAACCCTCAGCTGAGGCAAATGTTTCTGTGAAGTTCGTTTATATATCTTTATGGACTGACCTGAAATTATTATTATTTTTTTGACATTATACAAAGGCCTTTGAGATAAACCTAATGACTTTATGCATCCTTGATTACATATAGAAAAAAGGAATAATTGTATTCAGTTCAAATATTGTATATAATATCAATTTGAAAATCAATTTTTAACATTCATAGGTATACACTTTTACAATTATAGTAATTGAAGTTGGTAAAGGAAAATGTTTAGGCTGTAATTTTATTCTGCACTTTACTGTGCTGAAAAAAAGTTGAAGTCCATTATTAACCTACTAAAATTTCTCTTCAAATATAACCATATATCTGTTTTTTGCAGATATATAACCATCTATCTGTTTTTTGCAGCAAATAATGGATATAGATATTCATGATAACAGTCTATATCAAGGGTCTTCAAACTTGGCAAATTTAAGACTTGTGGACTTCAACTCCCAGAATTTCTGAGCTAACATGACTGGAGGAGGAATTCTGGGAGTCCACAAGTCTTAAAGCCGTCAAGTTTGAAGACTCCTGGTCTATATCTATGTTGGTTATCCAGTCCCATTCTAGTCAATAGGATATAAGGAGTTTAGTTAGAACTACCAGTTTAGGTTACACAGACCCTGGTAATCATGAAATAGCAAACAAAATATTAGAATTTTCAAACAGATCTTTGCAGTCTGAATTGACTAACCCTAGCTTTAAATCATCCATTTTTAGCAACAGGAATTTTACCTACTGCTGCTAGTAGAGAGTCAGCTTCCACCAACACTCTATCATATTAAAGAGAAGAAAGATACAAATATTTCTCTTTTCTTATTATTTTCAGTGGTGGCCAGTAAGGGAAAGTCAAACACAAAAGTAAGAAGAAATTGGGTTTCTCAGCTTAAAGGTGCTACAGGGTTCTCCCCGCCCCCCCAATAATTACTTAACAGAATATATTACTGAAAAGGGAAAGAAAGGGAGTTCCTGTGGATTTTACTCCAGTAGTTCTATAGAGATTCTCAGTCATCCAGGTCATGGTTGTCCCAAAAGGTGTTTTTCAAGAGGCCACTGGACTTTCTTGTTTTTTCTTTGAAGATGTTTCGTTTCTCATCCAAGAAGCTTCTTCAGCTCTGACTGGATGGTGGGGAATCGAAAGATTTATATTTTATTTATATTATACTCAGTCCAGTAGTTGTTGCCAACTATAGGGGGAAATGTTCATCTCCCCTTCAAGGCCATTGATCCAGTGCTGTCCAAATACATTTCTGCGGTCATGTGGCTAGCATGACGTCGCCAAGCACTGTTTCCTCCCCACCAGAGTAGTACCTGTTTATCTATGGTACTTGAATTTGTGTGCTTTCAAACTGCTAGATGGGCAGGAGCTAGGCGAAGATGGGTGCTCGCTCATTGTGTGATCCTGGGGTCTCAAATCCGAGCTGTCGGCTTTCCAGCTGACAAGCCAAATGTCTTAACGTCTGAGCCATCATGACACTTCATAAATGATTGAAAGCAGAATAAGATGCAAATGACTGCAGACATTTCTGCAAATAAATTTGGATATCATTTAAGATTAGCTATTGCTAAGCAGAGGCTACTTGTCTTTTGAATGTAACACCCACACAAGATTTTTTTTCCTGTTCAATTTTTCCTATTCAATTACATTTTCCCTTCATTTAATTTCCCTTCAGTTTTCTACTGTTTTTTTCTTCTTCTTACCTTCTTAACTCCGTTCCCTTTTCTTCTTGCCTCACATTTTCCCTATATTTATCCTCCTTTTTGTTTGCGGTTTCTGCTGGAAGAAGGGGAGTATGTGTGAATATTGTGCATTTCTGGGTCAGCATGGTTTGTATGTGTGAGGGAAAATGTTTGATAGATGCTGATGAGAGATCAGTTAATTCTATAAATGGGAAAGCTTACTTGACAGGCAATTTTAATCAACAATTTTAATTAGTTCTTAATTGTTTCTTATGTGAGAGCCAGTTTGGTCAAGTGGTTAAGCACCAGGTAGAAACCAGGTTCTAGTCCTGCCTTAGGCCTCGAAAACTGCCTGTGTGACATTGGGCCAGTTGTTCTCTCTTAACCAAGTAAATCAAGCTTGGGTGATAAGCCAGTTGGTCAATTTTGTCACAACCAATGAATCAATACTCAGTTGATCCAAACAAAAAATGCACTTGGGGAAAAATGCTAAGAAAAAAAAATTATTGTTCACTCCTTTATTTGGAATATGACATCTAGCAAATACATACCCACACATGCATATATGTGTAAGTGTTGCACATGTACACATCTATTGGGATGGGGGAAAAAACTCCAGGATCAATGTCAATCAGAGTTTGCCATCCTGGGTTGGCAAGATAAGCATTGCACAGGATTTTTATACGTGTTTTCTATTATTATTACTCCTCCTTCATTTTCTGGCCACTTTTTTTATTAGAGTACATTGTTCATCTTCCTTTTGAATTAATGTGATCATTAGCCATTTAAGGATGTGCAACCTCTCTCTACCGGGATCTACTCTTATGTAGCAAATTTTTTTACAATTTTTTATTACAGTCAGTTTATGGAGTTACAGAAGATAGTCAGTCCCAAAGTCCTGCACATATACCTTCCCAACCAATTCGCAAAACAACAAAAGATGACGTCCGAAAGCAAGTAAGCGAAATGGCTTTGAAAGTGTTTCTTTCGCATTTGAGAGGTGGATTGATTTTTTAAAAAAATATTTCTGTAGAAATTTGTTCCTTCCAATAATTACTGGTGGTGGTGGGGAATGTTTAACTAGTAAATCAGCTGAACTCTATCCTTCATCCTCCTTGCCACCTTCCTTTTGGTTCTGCATGGTTTATACAAGAATAACAAAGTTGGAAGGGCCTTAGATGTTTTGGACATCTGCAACATAGAGAAGAGAAGAACAAATTTACTTAAAGTTGATGGGGAAAATGCCTTCCAGATATGGAGCAAAATACTTGGATACATTGGATTAAAGTCCATAACTTTCAATATTAATATAATGAGTGCAATATATTGATGCAAATCAGGTAAACCATCAGATAAAATCACTGGCATAACTGCATGTCTATGCAGCTGCATTTAGTTGTTTCTCCAACAGCTATTTTCACTTCTTTTCTTCAGATATCATTTCTGAACGTTCAGATAGACAGGCATTGTTTAAAAATGTCTAAAGTAGCAGAAAGGTAAGCACTCCAATTCATGTTATTATCACTGTTGTTGCTATTTTTCCCTTCAGTATTTGCAAAAGCATGTTTTCAGACCTCAGGAATTAGTTGCTGAGGTATGCATGCTTTTTCTCACTAATGTGTGCTGACTTAATAGATTATTTCAACAGCCTGATCCTGATTTGAAAGCATGTTTTAGAGAGTTTGATCAAACTGGGATTTTCTACAGTACTTCATGTCCAGTATATTTTATTGCAGGATGTGTCTATTTGTTGTTTCAAAACAACCATATAAATCAGTGCAGCTGAGTTCTTATGTTCTCAAATAAAATTACCAGTTTCCCTTATTGCCTTCTCGAGATATAAGATTAATGAAAAGCTTCCACAAATAAGAAAAATGCAATTTGGAATGACAATTTAAGGTTGTTTTCATACTTCACATGCACAGCCCACACAACTCAACAGACTTTTCCATCATCTTGAAATAATCAGCCCATTACAACTAAGCTTTGATGAGAGAAAAAACATAAGGTAAAATGAAAGCCAGCAGTGCTTGAGACAAAATAAAGTTGGATGGAACACCAGACTATTGTTTATTGTCATGTGCATGAATGTCAGACTGGTTAAACTGGTTGTCCCCTCCCTTTTCCGCAGTTTCTCTTGTGAATACAAAAGATTTGACAGAAGTATCCACTTGGAGGGAGCTCTGATTCTTCCAAGCCTCGTGGCCCGTGGCCCGGATGCATCATGCACAGGCCACACCCCTGCCTGGTTTAGTGAAGGGGGGAAAGTCACGATACATCACGTGACAATGCCATGATGACGCGAGTTTGACATCCCTGTTCTAAGCAATGCTTTTTAAAAACCTGACCTCGGCCATTAACCTGGCATATTTATTTGTCCACCGATCACAGAATCTCATCCTAGCTGCACTATCTATATATGTGTTGCATCGCTTCAATTGTTAGGAAGATATATAAGTATAGATAGCTTGAACTGGAACAACCTCTAGTGACTGGTACAGAAAATGGCATGTTAAACTGCTCTGAATTAATTTTGTTAAGCTGTAAATATAGTTAACCTACATTTCAGCATGTCAATATAAGAACCTCCATTGTCGCCCTGACCAGCAATGTGCTCACTCCTGTGTACTCCGCACTGAACTCAAAAAATATCTAGACAATGGAGAGAAGGACCTGCACATTGACTACCATGCTGACTGTATCAAAAGTAAGTCACGCAACCCACAACTCAGCTTTAACCTTCAACCACAACCCTACCTCAACCAATCCACCATCACCCAAGACTAGGCACGCACGCCCCTAACTACCTCAATTCCAACTACTGCTGGCCTTAAATGCAAGCTACTCAATGCAAGAAGCTTTGCGAATAAAATACCAGAATTTCTCCTCTTACTAAATATGGCTAAATTCAACATCATATTTGTCTGTGAAACATGGCTCAACGCATCTCTCCCTGACTCCATTACCACAGTAAGAGACTATCATGTTTACCGATCAGATTGTGAAATTCGTAGAGGAGGTAGTGTTGCTATCTTCTATAAAAAGTCCCTACATCTAAAAAACATCCAAGTTACCCAGGAGCTTACTATTCCTGAGACCATCGCCTGTGAACTGTCCTTAAATATCACATTTCAGTTCTTACTATGTTACAGAGCCCCTGATTATGACATCGAACATGTAAACAAGCTAAATACACTACTAACATGGGCAGCATCCTGCCCACACGATTTTATCTTTCTTGGTAACTTCAATCTACCTCATATTTACTGGACCCTAAATGAATGTACAACTGAACCCATACACGCAATCTTCTACAATGCTATTACAAATCTGGGACTGGAACAACTAGTAACCAACAACACTAGACTAAACAACTGCCTCGATCTCATCTTCTGCAATAGTTTGAATTTAATTTATGGAATAAAAACTAAAGAACCCTTTTCCAGCAGTGACCACAATATGATTGACTTTTGTCTCAACATACGCCCACACAAAAATCATCACAACGACGTAATCCCCAATTATAACTTCAAAAAGGCAACTATGATCTTATAGACAACGATCTTTCATCCCTTGATTGGCAATCTCTATTCACTGGATGCAATACTGTTGAAGACCATTACAACATATTTTTACTTGAAGTCAAAAGAGTCATCAAACTATATGTACCAACAACAACTCCCAAAACAAAAAAACAGATTACCCATAACAATAAGGACACTTCAATCCAAAAAGAGATCACTCTGGTGGAAAAACAAATCTGGTCACGTTGCCAATTTCAAAAGCTAATACAAAAATTTATGCCACCAGATAAAGACCGAATGCACCAATTATCACATTAAACAAGAGGAAAACCTTCTATGTACCAATTCCACCCGCGCTTTTTACAATTTTGTAAACAACAAACTAAAAGACTCAAGGTCCATCCCACCCCTGAAAGAACCTAATGGTAAAGACTGCAACAACGACACCATTAAAGCCGACATCTTTAACACATTCTTTGGCTCAGCATTTGTAAACAGCAATGGATCATGCCCAGTATTTCCTAGCCGAACCACAGACAACTACAGTGATCTAATACATATTGATTTTACAGAAGACAATGTTGAAAAAGCACTACGCAATCTAAAACCATCTCTATCTATTGGACCGGATGGAATATGTGCCTACCTCTTAAAAAAGCTATCCACTGCCATAGTCGAACCTCTAAGCATAATCTTTGAAAAATCTTTCAGGACCAGCTCCTTGCCTAACCTATGGTCAAAAGCCACGGTCATCCCCATCTTCAAAAAGGGAGACCCCAGCCTAGTTGAAAATTACAGACCGATCTCCTTATGCTGCGTCACCTGTAAAGTCATGGAATCAATTATTAACCAATCCATTATCCTCCACTTAGAGACAAACAACCTACTCTCCAATAAACAATTTGGTTTCAGGAAAAAACTATCCTATAATCTGCAACTCTTACACTGCAAAAACATATGGACTACACAACTTGATCAGGGCAAAGCAATAGATGCAATCTACATAGACTTCTGTAAAGCCTTTGATTCTGTGGTACACGGCAAACTACTCCTAAAACTAAAATCGTATGGTATCTCTGGACAACTGCATAACTGGATAGAAGCATTCCTGTCAAACGGACAACAAATGGTCAAAATTGGGAGTGTCCTATCAAATTCTGTACCTGTCAATAGTGGTGTCCCCCAAGGCAGTGTTCTAGGACCAACTCTCTTCATACTCTACATAAATGACCTCTGTGATCATATTAAGAGCAACTGCATTCTTTTCGCTGATGATGTAAAGCTGTTCAATACCACAGACAATACTGCTACCCTTCAAAAAGATCTTGACTATGTATCAGAATGGTCAAACAAATGGCAACTTCAAATCTCAACAAATAAATGCTCTGTCTTACATATTGGCAAAAAAATAATAATCAGAAAATAAAATACAAGCTGAATAGTCAAGATCTTGTTGATGATCCAAGCTCTATAAAGGACCTTGGAATACTCATCTCTAATGATCGAAGTGCTAGAGCCCACTGTAACTACATAGCCAAAAAGGCATTAAGAGTTGTTAACCTAATCCTACGTAGCTTTTTCTCTGGTAATATTACACTACTAACTAGAGTATACAAAACATTTGCTAGACCAATACTCGAATACAGCTCATCAGTCTGGAACCCACATTACGTATCTGATATTAACACAGTTGAGAAAGTCCAGAAATATTTCACAAGAAGAGTTCTCCACTCCTCTACTCGTTGCAGAATACCTTATGCCACCAGACTTGAAATTCTAGACCTAGAAAATCTAGAACTACGCCGCCTTCGGTCCAATCTAAGTATAGTATATAAAATCATACATTGCAATGTCCTACCTGTCAATGAATACTTCAGCTTCAACCATAACAATACAAGACCAAACAATACGTACAAACTCAAGGTTAATCACACCAAACTTGATTGTAGGAAATACGACTTCAGCAACAGAGTGGTCAATGTCTGGAATACTCTATCTGACTCTGTAGTTTCTTCCCCAAACCCCAAAAACTTTAACCTTAGACTGTCTACTATTGACCTCACCCCTTTCCTAAGAGGTCTGTAGGGGGCATGCATAAGCGCACCAACGTGCCTACCGTCCTATTGTTTCTTTTATTTTTCTTATATGTACCCATTTCATGTATTCATAACTATGTATATACTTATAGCTATTATCTTGTAAGCAATTGACAAATCAAATCAAATCAATCAATCAATCAATCAATATTGATATAACGTGGGCATGGTTTCCTGTGGTGTACTTTATTAATTCTGATAAACAGAGGATCAACATGAACTAATTATTTTGATGAACTAGCAATTAGAGCTCTGCAAAATGAGCTAGGGATTCAAGAATGCAAGTTTCTGTATTTATTCACTTACAACTATTGGATATGCACAATTAAGAAAACAAATGGAATTGCTGGCCTTTTGCCACAGTAAGAATCTATTCATTCAAACAGTAAATGTGAAAATGTGACAGCAAGTCAAAGGAAATCATACACAGGCAAAAACAAATGATACCACACCACAACCAAATTAATTAAGAAAACCAGCAAGAAGGAAACTTTAATGTGGCGAAGCTAAATCGACACAGTCAATGTTTAAATTGACTTTAAAAGGCCTTCAAATGTCTGGTGGATTCAGTGTTCTCACCTAACACTGGAAAAAACACAAATGATTGAAATAAACCATTTGCATTGAAATATCATTTGCCTTGTTCTTGCATTTAATTTTAATTTCCTGTAGCATTTACCATTGCATTAGAAAGCATTCCATTCACAGTGGCATTGTTCGTGCATTTATACTGACTGTTTCCTACTACGATTTGATTGCTTTGTACCCTATGACTATCATTAAGTGTTGTATCTTATGAGTTGACGAATGTATCTTTTCTTTTTATGTACTCTGCGAGCATATGCACCAAGACAAATTCCTTGTGTGTCTAATCATACTTGGCCAATAAAGAATTCATTCATTCATTCATTCATTCATTCATTCATTCATTCATTCATT